CCGGAGGAGGTGCCGCCCTTGAACCCGTTTTCGACGGGGAGTAAGGAGAAGAGGGGCGGAGGGGATTTGACGAGGAGGAAGGCGCCGCAGGAGAGTGTGCCCCCTTTGGCGCCGTTTTCGGTCGATGGGGGGGATGAGGAGTGAGGGGAGTTGGGGGGTGGGGGGTTCGTCTGAGCTGTTGAGGATGCTGGTGTTCCGGGGATCGCGATGGAAGGGCCTGGCTGGACCGTGAAGCTGGGACTTTTCTTGGGCAATGTTTGGTCGGGATCTTCTGGGCGAAGGCGGAGATGGGGATGGGGAACCTCCTTTTTTTATAGTGGGTTGGGGGAGAGTTCCTGGGGAATTGAGACTTTGATTCACTGTATATCTTGAAGCCATTTCTTCTTCTTTTGTTCTACTGTACGTTGAGTTGCGGTGTGAAGATGTGTACATGTTGGATGGATAACAAGGCGGTGGACGGAGGCTATCCGGCATACGTCCCGATGCGAGGGCCAAAGTACTCTCCCTTGGGCAACTTGAGCCTCGTGCAAGCCGTGGCCTCGCAGCCCTTCTCCGAGTCGTTGCCCCACCAGTTGACCTCGAACCCGTGATAGCTCACCGTAAAGAAGATGACCACCGCAGCGATTGCGATTGCAGTCGAGAGGGCGGCTGAGAGGACGTAGTTGTACTTTGACCAGAAGGCGAGGTAGCGCTGGCGGAGGTAGACCATGCTCAGCCAGCCGGGGATGACGGCCGGCCACATGTACGCGATGTTGTACTACACAGCAAATTAGAGATAGGAAGAGCAAGGAGGGAGGCGGCTTTTGACTCACGGGAGACCAGCTGATGCCACCGCTGAGGATCATGACCGGGTGGATCTTGGCGACCCAGTGCGTGCGCGGGAAGCGCCTCTGGAAGACGTAAAAGAGGATCGGGATGGCGAAGCCGACGGGGAACGCGGAGAGGAGGGCGGTGTAGATGCCGCCGGAACCGAAGACCTTGCGGGCGCCCAGGCTGCCGAAGAGGACTGCGGCGGTGAAGTAGGTGTTGACGCCAGGGCAGGAGAAACGGTCTTTTTGGTTGCTGTGGTGAAGGTTGTTAGCATCACACGAGAGACATTGGTGTGAGGAGCTCCTTACGTCGAGCAGAGGTCGGGGATGTTTTCAATCTGAAAGTTCATCACGCCGGTGCAAACGAAGGCGGAGACAAAGACGGCGACGACCTGGGCTGCGAAGGTGTGGCGCTGGGGGATCTTGAGGTAGTGGGCTAGCTTCAGGTCGTTGGCGAAGTCGAGGGCGTGGGCGGTTGTGACGTAGCTGGAAGCAATTGTTAGCCGGATAGTTATGAGAGTTGAGGTACTGGGACGTCTTACCCGAAGCACTTGAAGAAGTTCATGGCGAGAGCATTACCGGGCTCCCATGCACCGCCGATGAACTCGGCCAGCACGCTATCGTTATGTTAGTCTTTGAGATGCATCAGAGGTTTAGGTTGACTTACTTGAACTCAACCTCCATTCCGGTCGTGGCGAAGATGATACCGGTGGGAATGACGAAGACAAGGGCGAGCGCGATGCCGAAGAAGACTACGCCGACGCTGGTCTGGGGAACATTTAGCAATGTTAGTCGATGGATGGGTGGAGTCGATAGGTACCTCCGTAGGCCAAGCAGCAACGGCCGCAACACCGAATGCAATTGCGAGCAGATTGAGGATGAGGTACCACCACTCGGGAACTGTGACCGGTCAGCTACACTCTTCAAAAAGCAGGGAAGATCCTGGTACCTTCCGGGTAGTTCGACATCATCCTCGTGTGGACATCCTTGAAGTCCTGCGACGCCTCCTTCTTGAAGCTCCGGAGCAGACTCTTGAAGCCCAGCGCAATGTCGTGGCGATGGAAGAGGATCGCGTAGGAGATTGTCGCGGCGTAGACGGCGAAGAAGTAATAATACATAGTGATGCTACTCGCGGCCAGGTAGACGGGGGAGTAGGCTTGGTACTTGGCCTCATCCAGCCACCCACGGCTATCAAGGATCTTGGAGACGTTGTAAGAGCCACCAAAATGGTTATACATGAGGTTCGAGTTGATCGGAAGGTAGGCCGTGTTGTACGCATTCGTCCAGTAGAGCCCGATAATCGTGATGCCGCCGATGAAGACGCCGATGAAGGTGTTGAATGTGACGCGGAAGGGGACGACGAGGGGCTGGACGACGTGGGTTGCGACGTTCCAGTCAAAGGTCGGCAGAGGGTTGAAGCCGAGACCTTTGCGCACACCGGTGATGGCGGTGAGGGTGAAGTTGTCGGGCGCAATCCACGCGACCCAGTTGAAGAGAGAGAGCGCGCCGAAGATGTAGTCTGGGAACCAGAACCAGACGAACATGCAGGCGAACGCCGCCAAGAAGAAGCGGTAGCGGGATATGCTGTAGATCTTCTTGAAGGGGCCGGCGACTGGGTGATTTGTCTCTGTTGTGGTATAAGTATCGTGAGTCTACAAGGAGCATGTTCTCGCGACTTGGCTTACCGTTATGAAGAGAGCTGTTGAGAGCAATGGTGACCAATGATGCGGGCCACAGACAAAAGGCTGGGTACACCAAGAAACGCCTGCACAGACCAGCCAAACCAAAACCCATCAAGTTCGTGGAGAGAGCCAGAAGGATTTGGTAGCTGAATGACTTGGCGTACTTTTGCCCAAAGTAGCGATCCATCCACTGGGTGAAGACTGAGGCGGATCTTGTCAGATAACCAACACCATGTTCCATCGAAAGACACGGAACTTACTGATATATCTCGAGCTAGGAAGCGTCTTGCCAACACTCGCCATAATCGAAATCAGCATGTGCTCCTTCTTATTGAAAGGGCCTGGATTCAAGCTATGCCGAACCCCAAACAAAGTGAACCCAACATCAGGCAGGAACCTCTCTGCGGCCTTGCCGACCGGGTACGCCAGCAGCTGCACGACCTCGGCCCTCAGCGTGATCGACGGCTGGCGCACGCTGAAGAGCTGGTTGATGAAGGCGATGAACACCACGAAGGCGAGCCCGATGACCCAGGCGCGGATCGTGGAGACGGGCAGGCTGGGGTCATCGTGCGGGTCGACGACGGCGCGGACCTCGGCGTAGGGACTGTTGGTGGTGAGCAGCGAGACCTCGACCTTGGCTTCGGAGATCTCGCGGGCGTGGGAGTCTGGGTTGGCAAGGATGTCGTCGTTGGCGAGGAAGGCTTTGAGGCGCTCGAGGGCGCCGGCGGGGAAGTTTGGGTCGAGGTTGTGTTGGGAGACGAGTCTTTCGGCGGCCTGGGTTAAGTGTGAGGCGTGTGAGAGGATGGATGGGGCAGATGGTGGTTACTTCACGGGTTTCTTGGAGGGAGAGGCTGCGGGAGTGTTCTCTTGCTTCGAGGACCTCTTCGGGTGTAGCGTTCAGTTGTCTGGCGGTTTGTGAGTTGGATGATCTTGCGCAGGTGAAATGTAGACTTACTTTGCCACTTCATCAACAGAAATCTTCTCATCGAAGCTCTCATGCTGTGAAGTTATTAGTTGATGCCAACAGAAGATGATCGTACCCGGTCGACTCACTTGAGGGTTGACATCAGCTGGCGCGACGACATCGATGGTATCGCCTGTCTTCTCATTGAGAGTACCCATTTTGGCAACGACTGATGGACGAAACCGCAGACAGATGCAGAACCTTGAGAGATGAGACACAACAGGTAGTACAGGGACATGAGGTGAGTCAGGACAGAGCAGTTCTTATTGCCGTTCGTGAGTAGTTCACGCGAACGATGGGGCCGGGTCCGGGTGGTAGTAACCCGGATATCTGGTGACTCTGTGGCGCTAAAGTCTCCCAACAACCTTTAGGCCATCCAACGGGCAATTGCCCCGAGCTTTCTTCTGGCCTTGCCATCTGCGACTTGATAGTATGCCAAGGAAGAGTGGGCTCTGGCGGGGTATCCCGACCCACTCGCATTGCAGTACGAAGACGCGTACCTCTAGCCCAGTATGTACCCGTTTCGCTCATAGTTCCATCGCTAGAGACTCTTTCAATATGGAAATTACTCGAGCTAAAGACAGCCAAGACGCATATCTCCGTTGAGCAGATGACATTGGCAAATCTCTACATTCAAAACTACCGCGCCAGCAGCCACACGCTGTGTTGCACCATACCGAGAATGAATGAGAACCCACGACAGAATTACCTCGATGGGAAAACGCATCCTCTCGACTACCGCTGCCAAACCCGGGAGACATCGTCTCTTACGTACCAATAAGCTTAACCCGTCCTATCTTGGGCTCGCCCATCCCGCTCCAACGGTCGGCTGCAGGGATGAAGTGGGCGGGAAGTGGGCGCGTCTCTTATCGCGTCATCGGCCAGAGAAATGGCGGCTGCGGAGGAGAGAACGAAGACGGCAAAGTGTCAACCAGATTTTGACGTTTGCCAGGTTCTAGACGTGTCTTTAACTGCAACTTGCTGATGGGCGATCATTCCGCCGAGGCGTAAAGTCGGAGCGGACCCGATGCCTTCAATAAGTTCGGGGATCCGCCGCGTCGGTTTCGGTTTCACGGCTCCGGCTGGCAGGCGACAACTTCCCGGAACGGCTACCTGCAGATGGCCCGGTCGATTGAGTGATAAGAACAGCGAATCACGAGTGCTGCATGTTGACCAACATCGTCGGTGCGATTGGAATCCCCCGCAAGATCCTGCCCACGACGACTTCTCTTCACCTCTTCTCTTGATTGAAGATCGCTGGAAGTCATACCCGACGCTGAGTTTGGTCTTCTCGGGTTACTCCGTTGGACCGTGGGTCAAATCCAAGTGACGCCATTCCGACCCACGTTGACGCCGCCGTCCATCAGCAAACGCCAAGCTCTGAAGTCGACTGCCTGAGTCGGGGAGCCCAGCTCGAGGGTAATTGAGGCGTTGTATGCTGTGATTAGGATCGCTCTTCTTGACAAAAATTGCTTCTGTGTAGAGATCGTTTACTTGCAGTATTTTTAGAAGATTGTGGCGATTTCATGCGTCGAGCACTCCAAGATGGTCGGCAAAGGCGAAGGTGTCTTTGATTCAAGTCCCCCGCCGTACCAGCAACATCATGCGCCGAGACTATTCGTCGTTCGGAGGCGCCGAGGACGTCTCTTAGCGTTTACTGTTCTCGTGGTTGTGCTCGTCTCCTTGTCACATTACTACAATGCGGCTATTCAGGATCCTGTGATCACAGAGGAGCAGCGCAAAGTGCTCGTGAAGGGCCTCGAAACCTGTCGAGAGACTGTTTCTCGGCATCAAAGAACGGACGACGTTGTTCAACGAGAATCGAATCCACGATGGAACAAGATCTCTGGACAGAAGCAAACCATTGTTCTCAGGAACGCAACCCTCTTTGACGGAGACTTAGTTCTCCCCGATGCAGTCGATATTGTCTTTGAGAAAGGTCTCATCAAGTCTGTCGAAACGACTCGAGAGAAAGGACATTTCCCCAGCGATGCAGTCGTCTACAACCTCAAGCGGCGATTCGTCACGCCCGGGCTCGTCGACATCCACTCTCACCATCTGGAGCTCCCCTTCTCCTCAGTCTCCGCAACCTCAGATGTGAACGAGAAACCACAGCTCGGACCCATCACGCCCTTCGTCCGAGCCATTGACGGATTCAAGCCCTACGATCCGGCCATCAAGATCATTGCCTCCGGCGGCGTGACGACGTCGCTGATTCTACCTGGATCCGGGAACATCATTGGTGGCCAGGGGTACTTGGTCAAGAACCTCCCATCTCCCGGCGAGAATGGAGAGCCGATCGTCGAAGATTTGTTGCTGGAACATGGAATCCCGGAGGAAAGCCGACAAAGATACCTCAAGATGGCTTGCGGCGAGAACCCGAAGCATCTATACGGCCACACCCGCCTCGGAAATGCTTGGCTCCTGAGGCAGCATCTGGAGAAAGCCCGCAAATTGAAGTCGAAACAAGAGGCTTGGTGTCATGCAGCAGAGGGTGTTGAAGGAGATGGCTTCAAACGTGGCATAACCGCTCACTTCGTGGCGGTACACGGAGAGTTCCCAGAGGACCTCGAGCTAGAGGCAACCGTGGCCCTACTTCGGGGAGAGTTCAATGTCAACATCCATTGCTACGAGCCGGAAGACTTTGAGAGAATGCTTGCCGTGCTGCATGAGTTTGGTGTTCACCCACAGGCATTTCACCATGCTCTGGAGGCGTGGCAGGTCCCAGAGTTTCTCAAGGAGCAAGAGAGGTAATCAAATGAACTACGTATGATTGGATTATGGCTGATGGGGGACTGCATAGAAACATCACCATTGCCACTTTCGCGGAAAACTCGCTTTTCAAACATGAGGCATATGGAGCGAACTTGCGCGGTCCGAAGATCCTTGATGACCACGGCATTCGTGTTGTCTTAAAATCGGTAGGATAGGCCCAGGATGCACCCTTGAAGAAGAATCAGGGGCTCAACTTTTGTCGTCTAGGACCACACGGGTGAGAGCAATCACGCCAAATATCTCGCGTAGGTCTACTCGACAAGACAAATATTCGCCCCAGCTTTTGCCTAACACTCGAATAGGTACCAGGCAGCAGTCTCTCATTCCTTCGGACTCTCGGAATCAAAGGCCTTGCAGTCCATAACCTCGGCTGGTGCGTATTCGATCCAGCAAGACCACCGTATTGGATTTGTCAAACCCGGATACGATGCCGACTTGGTCGTTTGGGACGCGCATCCTCTTCAAGTCGGCGCGACCACAATTCAAGTCTTTGTCGATGGCCGCGACGTTCTCAACAAAGACAGCGCCCTGGCTACCTTGGGCAGGTCTCTGGAAGACAGCGATAATGCACTGCCAAAAGTCAAGGCCACAATCCAAAAGGAGACAAAAGAGGATATCTGTGGAAGAGCATTAAGACGCGGTACACGGATCGTCTTCACTGGGATTAAAGAGGCTCTGATTGATGATGTGTCTTCTCTAGACACAAGTGACCATCTGGCAATGGTCGTTACGGATGGGGAGATCACCTGCATTGGGGCCGAGTCTGCATGTGTTTCCTCTCACGAAGGCGACAGTATTGTATCAATCAAACTAGACAGCGGTTACATCACACCAGGTCTGGTTGCGTTCGGCAACAACATTGGCATCTTGGACATCTCCTCTGAGCCATCCACAGGCGACGGGTCACCAGATCGGAAGGGCAACGCGCTCAACGAACGAAAGGATCTTCACTTTGCTAAGTACGGAATTCACTTCGGGGGAAGAGGTTTCGGCCGCGCTCGGCTCGGCGGTGTCACAAGAGCTGTCACTGCACCAATCTTTGGCGGTGGGTTGCTTCAAGGTGTGAGTGTCGGGCTCCGGACTGCGGAAAACGCTACTGTTCTTGGAGGTGGTATATGGAAGAACGAAGTTGCTTTGCACGTTGCCATGGGGCAGGAAGCTAAGGGTAAGCTTGGTTCTCTGTGATGCTCGCGATGCTTTTGCTGACCATACAGTAGGCGATGACACTCCGACTATATCATCTGGGGTCGAACGTCTGCGTCAGGTCATTGAGGAAGGGCAGGCGGTGTCTACGCAACCAAGCAGTGCCTACGCTCGGGCGGCAAAAGGGGCACTGCCTGTTGTCGTGTACACTGTGAACGAGGCGAGACATCTTTTTCCCAAGGTCTTTATCCGGAGCAGTTGCTGACCATCTGGCAGGATGACATTTCCCAAATAATTCTCCTAAAGCGTGACTTTCCTGCCGTGAACTTTGTCATCTATGGTGGGCATGGAGCTCCCTTGGTAAGGCATTTTGCCTCATATGATCGCAGTCCCCCGTTGCTGACGAATTTTCAGGTTGCCAGAGATCTAGCTGAAGCCAAGATACCCGTCATCTTGACTGGCAATCGCGGTGCCCCTGATAAGTGGGAGAAAAAGAACTCCTTCGCCGGTCCTCCGTTGTCTCCGAGCCCCGCTCAGGTACTCATCGACGCTGGGGTGCTCGTTGCGCTCGCAGTCAGAGGCGACTCCAAGGTCCATGGGCTTGCTCAGGAGGCACAGTGGGCCGCTAAGTTCGCGGGCTTAAGTGAGAAAGAGGCGATCAAGTTGGTGTCCACGAACTTCAACAAGATCTTGGGACTAGAAGGGTACAGAGAGGAAGATAGTCCTTCCGGAAACAAGTATTCCGGGGATTTTGTTGTGTGGGAGGGAAATCCTCTTCGCGGCGAAGGAAGCGTGGTTTTGAGTGTTCAGGATGATGGGAAGATTGGGGACTGCTGGCCGGATTATGAAGGTGCCGTTTTGTGAGACCATTACGCATCGCCGTCGCTAGCTGCCTGGGCTGTTACTTGGATCTCCACGTGGTCTTGGTATCTTGAGCTGCGGTGTAGATTTTGGCGTTCCATCCAATCTGTCTTGGGGTTGACTCGGCGAGACTACGGGATATCCCGTCAATATTCCCGCCACTTCCCTTCCTACCTTGATACCAAGGGTTCTCGTGAGTTGCGAGATCGGAGGATGTCGGACGAAGCATTTCGGCTCCGTCTTGCCGTGGTATGTCGTACCGCTTACGGTATTGACGCCGTCAGATCCACCGCGAGATCCGCCCAACGCCGAACGAACCAACTTCGAGTGGATACGCGGCAGGAAACGAGACAGACCCATGGATGAGGTGCACCGGCCTTTGGCATATTGGCCCCAGAATGAACGGCACACCCGTAAATTGCAAGCTTTTGGGAGGGCACTGGTCACACTGAATTGTAGCAGTCTATGGTTCAACACGATGACTTGAGTATCGAAGCTCTCACAATGATATTCCATGGTCTAGTGTGATGGGTTTCGAGTTACCTTTTTCGTAGAGTGACATTGCTTCTGGAACGCCTTCGGACTGCCCCCACGGACTGCCCCCACCCCTATGAGCATCTTTTCTGGGCCTGTGTCCACGTTGACCGTCACGGTTGACGTGGAAGCGAGCCCACCCGAGCCTGGACCGCTTGGACCGAATCCCACCGTCAATGACAACGTAGTGAACACCAGCAGAGAAGAGGCTCCGCGAAGCCCCGTTATCGATAGCATCTGATAAGATCGAATGCTTGTTCTCCAGGGGATCTTCAATACGTCAAAGCAAGGTTTCTTGGCATCCACTTTCACGGGCTCCAGCCACGCGGGTCACTGAAGTATCTGTGAAGCTTCGCAACTCTATTCCCACTTCCCGTTGCTCCGAGTACCCCGGTCTTCACCGGATACGCTTTGACTGCAGGACAAACGCGTAAAAGGGGAGTTCGGGATGTACAATGATCACATGCTGCGTCCTTGCTGCGTGAAATCAAGACGTTGCCTGCAGACACTTCACCGATCAATTCACATTACATCCGCAAGTCTGTTATTCGGCGACGGTTGAATCCCATCTAGGTATTTCCCCGGGAATACGTGTATTTGGGCTCAAACGAGCAGCTAAACCATCCTCCAGCTAGAACAAGCATAACAGGTACATCGTTTACAACCTCAACTTAATCTAACGGCCCGACAGACCCAGTGATCATTATGGTTAAAATCAAGAATTTTCCGAGCACTCTATGATGTATCGGCCTCGGCCCTCAACAATTACACCGGATTTCAGAAAGGGGAGTTACGTTTGACTACAACATCGCTACCAAAACTCTGAGGTCCCACAGTCAAATGTAACCCCGATGCATCGTGCCTGCGAGATATCCAAGCTTTAGAGATGGAGTCTTTGCGCAAGTTTCCGCCGCCCATCAACGCGTCTGAGCGGGCAATCACGGAGAATGGCTAGAACGGATGTAGTTAAAGACCTCAGTCCCCATTGAAAAAGATTAACCCCCACATTCCTGCCAAGGTTGGACCCTTTCCCGCGTAACGCTGAATCCAGCGCCGATAAACTCCGTTACATCACCGACGTTGATCCAAGCCGTCATAGTTCGTCGTCGCAGAAGAGAGCGTTCGGTGGATCTGCAAGTCGTGGGGCAATTGACCCGTAGGGCCGTCGTGGAGCCGGCCACGCGTCTACTTCAACTTCCACCCTGCTCTGGGCCCGGAGTCTTCCCGTAGATCGCTGTACCTGCAGGACGTGGCTAGTTCGGATATCTTGTTTGGCTGGATAAGAAATTGGAATTTTTGATATCCCTTGAGAAGCTTCTCCGAAGACTTCCGGCGATGGCTTCGCTTTGCAGTTCGGAGGCTTTCCGAGCGTGATGCATAGCATGCAATTTGACGATTCAAGGATGAGTAACGACGGACTCAGAATATCCACTGCGTCATTTTGTATTATTCGAAGAATGTTGAGGTTTTGGGTGGCTGAGGCCTCGGCGGCTTGGGATGTTGCTGCTCGGAAGTCGAGGCGAGACCGAGAACGAGAACGAGACTAAGGGGAAGAAACAAACACCGTACATCGCGATGAAGATATATAGGTCGGAGAACATCTCATCAAGCTGATTGTTTTGGGAGACAAGAGAGATATTCAATAAAGCAACCGCTCGACCTTCTTCAATACCATTACGATGCGCGCAACTACCTTCCTCGCCTCGGGCCTTGCCCAAACCGCTCTTGCAGCAAGAGTCTTCCTCAACGAACCTGATACTGGCATCGAACAGGCTCTTCCGGACCTGCAGCCAGGAGAGCTGCCCAGTCTGGATGCGATGATTGGTCTGCCGGATTTCGACTTCGCTGCGAGAAACTATCTGCCTATCAAGAACTACACCTACTACAGAAACGGAGCAGCGGGCGAGTGGTCGTACCGGAACAACCTCGAGGTATATCAACGGTATCGCTTCAACCCCCGCGTGATGGTTGACATTACAAACGTCGAGAACACGCTCCCGTATGTGCACAGTCTCTCTGCTCCTAACCATATCGATCGGCTGACAAGACCTTCATGGGAAAAGAACCACCATTTTGGGACACAACTTCTCTGCTCCTTTCTTCATCGGACCTGCTGCTCGCGGTGATTTGGGTCATCCCTTGGCTGAGCTCAACCTTATCCGAGCGGCTGCTGCAGAGAACATTCTCTACGTGGTCAGTATTTGATATTATGTTGCCAACAGGCTCAGGCTGACACTAATCTCCTGCAGCCCTCTCTCCTGTCGTCAAAGTCAATGGAAGACATCGCTGCCGCCAAGGCGAATGGACAAGTTCACTTCCAGCAGGTAAGTGCCACAGCGAATTCCGTCTTTGTTCGACAGTTGTTTAACCTCAACGAAACAGCTTTATCTCCAGGATAACATGACGGAGACCCAGAAGGTCCTTGACAGAATTGAGATGGCTGGCGCCAAGGCCATCGGCTTCAGTGTCGACTCAGCCGCCGATGGAAACCGTCACCGTGCTGCTCGCTTCGACGTTGGCTCCGCTGACTCTGGCTGGTCTCTCATCACTGTAAGCTGCACCCCCCTTGACCCTTGTGTGAGCGCCGGCTGACATATCTCAGTGGGATGTTTACCACCAGCTCACAAACATGACTTCTCTCCCCATCGTTCTCAAGGGAGTCATGAGCGTCGAAGATGCCCAGGCGGCCATTGAGCATGGTGTTCCGGGTATCTGGTTGTCTAACCACGGCGGCCGTCAGCTTGATGGTGCCCCTTCGGCCTTGGAGGTTGCCCTTGACATCTATCACACCGATCCCGATATCTTTAACAAGATCGAAGTCTACGCTGATGGCGGCGTTCGCTATGGAGCCGATGTGTTGAAGCTGCTGTCCCTCGGCGTCAAGGCCGTCGGCCTGTCCCGCTCTTTCATGTTCGCCAACGTCTACGGCCAGCAAGGTGTTGAGAAGGCCATTCAAATCATGAAGCACGAAATCGCGATTGATGCTGGCAACTTGGGCGTCGGCGATTTGAAGAAGATTGATCCCAGCTACGTGAGTATCACCAAGACATCACCATTTGGGCGGGCCAAGTCCTTACTGACAAACTTTACAGGTCAAGTGGACGCCTGATCACTGGCAGGGTTAGAGTTGCATCCAAAATGCACTCCACCCATGAAGTCTAGAGCTACTAGAGATACATCCGGTGCAAACCGTTAGACGGGGATTTAGAGGGTTTGAATGAAGACGAAACCAAATACACTTGAGTTCAATGTTAATATTACAATACAAACAGTGGCTACTTTACAGTCATTTACATAGATAACCTTCTTCACTGAAACAAACGCAAATACACTTCCTCGTGACGAAGCGACTGTCGTTGGCACTACAAGATAGCTGGGTAGGAAATGTCAATCATGTACGAACCCTTCGGATGCAGGAAGGACAAATCTCCAATTCACATAACCGGCCGAGTTCGGATCCGGTGTGATAATGGTGACAAAAATGAAACTATTTCTTCTCGCTTTTGGAGATGCTCGGTTTCGAGAGAAACAGCCTTCTCCGCCTTGTCACCGACCAAAACTGCCCCGCTTACGATTCCGTCGGCAGTTACCTTGCTAATTTTCTCCCCGGTGGAGTCGTGCATATTGACAGAGCTCGCAATAATGACCCATTGGGCATTGAGTTAATTACGACATTATCGGACTTCCGTACCTCCACCATGTTAGACGTTCTGGCTAGGCGGTTCAGTTCGTGCTCACCGGTGATGAGAACCCTGTTCCCTCCGATCTGGTGAAGGCGAGTCATCCAGACATCAATCGAGTCAAGAGTTTCATGGCACGGCGGAGAATTGATTTTGTTGTTTCCCAGCCGAACACCTCCTGACCAACAATATGGCCAAACTGAAACAACCAGAAGAACCAGCCGGGAAGTTCAATCTTGCACGACCATTGTACCATGGTCCACCACCACCCTCATTGCAGGATCACATCGACGCGAGATGTCAAAGACTACGAAACAAGACGGACACGGAGAATAATACGGCAAGTTTCATCAACATGAAGCAATCATAGAAAGGCAATATACACAACAGTGATGAACGCTTTGGCAAGAAACAACGAATGGCGGAAGCATGGAACAAGGCTACAGAATGGGATGGATGCAGATCATGGTGAGGCTAGCGAACGCCCTGTTGGGACAGGAATAGTATAGAAGAAAACCCTGGAATGCAAGGATGCAGCATGTTTTGGACTCACCGGCCGTATTACGGAAACACATGTACAATAAGGCCAACCGAGGAGCCGTTGAAGCTCTGTCCAAACAAGGAGACATCCGACATGAAGCTCTCTTCACGTCTCGTCACACTAGTCAACATGCTATATCCTGGTCGTAGTTTGTGATGATTTACCAGAACCTTCCTCTGGTGAGGCAACGCCATCTGATGACCTCGGCACCAATGCCCACCCGGACCCAATCAGTAAGCCCCGTCACGAACCGCACACCCCTTCAGCATCCAGAGTTGGACCTTCCCAAAACTTCTTTTCTGCCCGGGCAATCAAGTAACATCGCTTCTGCATTGCGTTCATGCTGACGCGAACATACGCGAATAGCCTTTGAGACGAACGGAACGCCAAGATGGGAAGCCACATTCCCCAACGTAGGTCTCCGCGTGGCGACAGACGGCTCCAGAGTATTTCCAGGACGTCATCTTTTCTTCCATCGATGTGCCGTCTCATTCAGAATTGCTCCAAAAGTTACTTTGCTCTATCAATAGCCAAGTTCTTGGGCTGCGTGGTTGTTCATGCAATCACACAGACGGTCACCCACAAACTCTAACTCTGCTCACTCTGAATGGCCGCTCTGGGCCGCAATCCAAGACCTCTGCACAGCACCGCCGCGACACATCTGCGCAATGATCTGCGCAACCTCACTCTTCACGGTTCAAATATCGCCCCTTTTAATAACAGGAAGGTTGAGCCCTTCAATCCACGTCATGGAGGTGTGCAAAGCGTGCTGAAAAAGATGATGTTCAACCGCTGCCGGGATCAACGGCAATTCAACAGATTTAGCCGCTCAGACCCCATCCCTGTCAGCGACTGGTGTTCATTGGGTCTCACACGTCCAATTAAGCTTGAAGCTGGTTTGCTCTGGTACATGCTTAAAAGCCGCGGTTGGGCGAAATAAGGTTGTTTGTTACAGATTTGCTCACGGGTAGAATTTCCCTGCTGATGGGGTTCTTGGGAAGCCATGCGGGACATCATGTCATTGAATTGCGTGTCGGATGCTCCCGAGGAGTTACTCCTCAATTTTCGCCCCAATGATGAGGTGAGCTGAGTTTGGCGTGGCCGTTGAGAGTTCGGGAGGGGTTCCCAAGAGGGCGCCGATTGCTGGGGAGGTCCCCGCGATGGTGTTGACATCGCGGAAATGTTTTAGTCAAGTACCGGTTGAGTGGTTTACGAGTGGTTCGGAATGTCGCTTTGTTTCAACGCCAGTCAAGATGCCGAAGCCATCGTTTCCCATCACCTGTCAAGGCTAAGACTATCGTTTACTAGAAACACCGGGGACAAAGTCAGTGTTTGAGTCACGTCTCTCGGATCGATCGTCCAAAGACCAGGCCGACGCATTTCAGGCGGACTCGGAGAAATAATGCAGCTATTATTACCACCACCATACTTATCAGAAAACATCAGATAGCCAGGACGCCCAAGTACTCTGGTCAGTCCATCCACTGCTCTGATCCCTACCTTACCCCGATCAGCTGCCAGAGAGACATTATTTTGACCCCGCAAAGATTTGAAGCTCGGGTCAAAATGATGTGCGAACCTATAGCATGGAACGCCTGGAACGGGCGCAGATGTCTGGGCATTCTTCATGATTGCCCAAATCTGCCTCCTATGTGTATAGAGTTTGAGGCAGACGTCTTTTGAGGTCTGTAGATCAGGCGAGTTTATTTTCAGAATTTCCTGATTATCTGGTAAGGTTATTTTCTTGCTGAGTTCGGTTCGAGATCAACTAGGTCCCCGTGGGCTTCGTTGAGGGGAGATGCCTGGGCAGATGTTGGCATGAATGAGACATGATCGGGATGTGATCACGGCAAGGATGAAGTAGATGAGGATATTTGTGTGATTACAGAGGTGTATAAAAAGGTCTGGTATCCTCATCAAATATCCGCTTTCCTCTTCAGATCGTTATCAGACATTCAGTCAGCTCGATTACGCAATACCTCTATCGTACTGAACCACTCTCAATATGCCTACCCTCTCTTGGAAACAGGCCCTTCTTGGCCTGCTCCTATTGGAGCCACTGGCAGCTGGACTTGCCGTTCCTCCTAAGCCTGATATGATGGACCCAGAGGATCACCTCGGTATCAAGGCACGACGCAATGATCCTGCGGTTCACGTTCCAGACGCAAGCATTTGGGTTCGAGACCGTTGCCCTGATGACGATGGGCCTGACCGTGGTGAGTATCGTCCACAACAACCAACAAGGCTTCACAGAGAGCTGATTCAGACTCTTACAGGCGGACGGCCACCCAGACCGCCACAGTTGCGTGCTCGTGACTGTAACCCGCCCAGACCTCCTGATGATGGTGGTATGTTAGGAACTCAAGACCAACCGGGAAGCTTTCTGGCTAATGATTGGCGTGAAGGACGACGTCCACCTAAGCCCGAGGACGGCCCCGATGGCGATCGAGGTAAGTGTATACAAGTACCCGTGTCGCTTGGTCGAAGCTTACAATGACCGTGAAGGTCGAAACCCCCCTCGGCCTCCTCAGAAGAGGGACGGCGTCGATGATGGACGTAAGTGGAGCACAGAATGATACGACTCTTGTAAACTGTTTAATAACGATGCGCAGCTCGACCGCAACAGACGCCGCCGCCGCCGCCCCCGAATCCACCTAACCCACCTCCTAATCCGCCTCCGCCGCCGCCACCTCCACCAAACCCCCCTCCACCGCCCCCCAACCCGCCGCCTCCTCCTCCACCACCGCCCCCGGTGCCACCAGGCCCACCTCCTCCGGGGCCCCCTCCTCCGCCGCCGCCTCGCGCTCGGGACATTAACCACCGTGAGTGGCCGAGTAACACGGTCAAGCTGTGATTTTGACTAACGTGAAACTTCCATAGATCCCGGGATGTAAAGGAGGAGTTTCGGAATCGGTGGGGATCGAAGGCGTGGGTAGTTGGAGGGAGGCGAGAGGATTGGGAAGGTTGTTATGTCTTCTATTTTGAGAGTGACAACATTCGTTTGGTTAGTACTTTGGACGGTTGTGATTTAGTCCGATCTATTAGCTCAGGTCTTACTTTTGGGGGAAAGTGTGCCTTCATGTTCTTGATCAGGTCGTTGTACACTTTCCAGCTGGTGATCATTTGGCGACTGGCCGCTAACTGTCGAGTTAGCTAACGTACTCAATCGATTGGTTACTAATCTTTCGGTGGTGATCGCGGCGTGTTGTGTAATATGGCCCTTCATGCCGATGGGATAATCTGGTTTCGGAGCCGACAGCAGACGTCCAATCATTTCATCCCCTCACCACATTGGTGACGGTCAGGGGTTCCATGTCTTCAACAACCCCGCAAACCAGTCTATGAAACATCAACAGCTGAATTGGTCTCCTCCACAGCTATTGGGGTGGCATCGAAGGCCTCATCGGGCCGTATTCGGGACAAAAGCGCGCCCGGATCACGGCATCAGATTAGATGTGAAGGGCCGGCAGATAATCTGAAGCCATCATCAGTCATACTCAGCCTCAAGAACAAGCTTCCCATCCTAGCCGTGATCCCGAGTTACACCCGTCGCCGCGTGACGTTGCATTCCGTCCCCATACGAAGCGCGGGATCTGAAGAAGAGAGACACAGGGGCAGCATCGCCGTCGAATGGCGAATTGGAGAGCTCTGCGGGGATGCAAACACTGAAACCACTTCGACTCTTCTAAGCACTTCTTGCCGTCCGAATTGATAAGTTGCTGTCTGATAATGGTAGGGATGAGTAACGGCAATTTATTTTTGGAGCTAAAACAAGCTTTACGTGGTCCACAATTCGTTCATCATCCATAGCCAGCTGAAGTGTGAAACATTTGATCAGGGCCTTCCGCTGCCCTCAGCTTTTCTTCATAAAGCTGCGACAGAGACAATTGAAGAATGCTGTCAAATGATTATCAGCATACTGTCATATCTCTTCTAGTCGAGGGGTGCTGCTCGACGACCTTCCGTTAAAGTCTGTGATCCCGTTAGCAGCCGGTCAGCGAAACTCTATCCGAAATTCCGATCGCCTAACGACGAACGACGAGGGACAACGAGCGGAGTGTTCAGCGTACCACCTAGACAATAAAGAAGATCGAAACTTGAATCTCCAATCTGGATAATGTCTATAATCCGCAGAATGGTAGGTATTGGAGTCTTTTGCGCAATGATCCCCGGGGTCCTACTAAATACTGATGTATCCTTGAAGCCAGTCCCAAGAAACGAGCGTCCATCGGACTTTCAGCTTCTAGCTCGCCAGGATGATCCGGATGAGAAAGATGATGATTGTGACGATGACGATGATGAGAAAAAATGCAGCACAAGAACACATAGACAAAGCACATCCTCTTCGACTTCATCTGCTAGCCAACCTTCCGCGACACCGACAAACCCACAGATCAGCAGCTCAGTCAATCCGGCATCTACTTCCACACCGCAGGCTCCTCCACCAACGTTATCGCAAACAACTCAATCGACGGTACCTGTAGCCGCTGAGCCCTCTTCGGCACCTCAAACGCCTCCAACATCGACTGCTCCGGTCGTAGTGATACCAACAACATCCCTCGAGACGAGTGTTGTATCACTAAGCTTAGCTCCAGCCGCACCGACGTCGTCAGCAGCAGCGGCTCCGGCGACAAGCACAGCACCCCCGCCAACGCAGGCAGCAAACTCAAATAATGCAGGGCGAACGGCTGGCATTATTGTTCTCATCCTTGGTGAGTCAGCACCGTATCTCGACACACAAATGAAGCCATGACTAACCGTCATCACACTCAGCATTCTTCGCTTCCTTCGCCGGAATCTTCTTCTTTCGCAGGTGGCGAGCCCGACGTAAGCGCCGAACAGCAGAGAAAGCAAAATCAGTAATGGGCCCAGCCGGACCTCCAACAACTCCGCCATCACCTCCTCCCCGACCGACGAGGGATCTACCGCCGCTGACCTCGCACCCTCCGATGACCTCGCTTCCACCACCGCCACCCATTCAAGGCTCCGGTCAGACTCCCGCACAATCATCAAATACAGCAAGCTCATCGATGTACAGCAACACGGGGGTTGTAGGGAACCGACCAGCACGTAACACACGCGCCATCTCCCAAGCGTCACCACCTCAATCAGCACAAGTCACGCATACAGAGGAGGTCCCACGAGATGAGAAGCCTCAGGCCGCGTTCGGGATACCGACCTTCTTGCAGTCTGCCATCAACCGCAGGGCAAGGAACGCAGAGCTGGCTCGAGCTAGGGTCGAGAGCTGGCCTCCTCCACCTTACATTGGCACCAAGCAGCCACGGGCAAAGTCATTCAAGGGTTTGATGACAAGATCGAAGCCAGTGACAGCAGTCTCTGAGTCGTTATCGCCGACATCGTTCCCGGGTCAGCGGACGTATTCAAGTACGTCCAGAGAGTCTTTAATATTGCCCTGGAGAAGCTCAATCGAGTCGGATATTTCGAGTCTCTCGAGCGGCTGGGGCGACGGACCTGCCATACCAACTCCTGTCCTTGTGAATGAAAGACCAACGGTTGACCGCAAAGTTTGGATTTCACCGGCGAGAGGGAGCGAGGTTGCCCACATAAGAGAAGTCCCAAGAGATGTTGTCTGATTTCTCGTCAATCTTGGAATTCTAAGATCAGTGGATGATGAAAAGGTTATTCTATTGTATCTGCATGTGGTATTGAAAGCGCAAAGCATTTATAAACATGGTACGAACTATTTTACTACGCATCAACATTCGTCTCATCCATAAAAGAGGTAGGAAAGTATGAGGGTTGCATGGATAGTTGCCAAGACACTCTTGCTAGACTTGACTATTCGAGTGTGTACTTCAAGAGCCAGCATGCGCACCACGGCCCTGGACTGCACACTTCCTATTGCTGCCGCTGTCTCGTGGCCTCCTAGGAGTTCTTACCTTGGCCGACGTGATGCAAGGTGAGAAGACGCCTCTGGAAATTTGGATCCAAGACTTCCAAGGATACCAAGAGAACCAAGAGGTAAATGGACCAACCAGACCGCGTCCGCCGGTCGCAGACGCGTCAATCTCCTTCTCCCTGTGCTCTAGGCAAACCAGCGAACCAACCTGCTGACGTCGTAGCGCACCTGCCAAGGGGTGGGGAAATCACCCATCGGCTCGACGCTGATATCGCCTACCGAGAAAATGCCAATTCGATGGGCGAGACCAAATGGTCGCAATGCCAGGATTCCGCTCCGCCGGGCAAACATCAAGATCTTGGCTCCGATCTTGGCACGCCGGCAGGCCCGTCAATCCAATCACTGTCGTTTCCCAGGCCCGAAACCTACGCCACGTCTTGGGGTATTTAGAGCTTCTGGAAGGTCCTTATCATATCAAGGATATCCAAGACACTTGGCTGTCATGGTCGTGTGCGTATCTCGCCCGGGCTGACCAGCCTCTTGCATTTCGCTACCAACGGCAGTGGGATATTTCCGAGTTCACGCTAGACACAAGGGAAATCGTCCCCGGATTGGGTAGGGGATGATCGCTGGTGGGTGTCAATCTTGGCCTAGCACAAAGTAGAACAAGATATATGTTTGCGCCAGTCTCAATCACAACTCATCCCGTCCGTTGTTTTCTTCCGACGCACATATTACCTATCCTGTTTTGCTCGATTCGAGGCGGACTAGACCCAACTTGCATGAGGTTCACTGCGCAAGAACACTCCTTAGAAGTCACCCGCAGAGCCTCAATCATGGTCAACATCGCGTCGAGGATTTACAACTTCCTCGCCCCAGCCGCTAACAAGGGCGAAGATGGCCGCGACGTCTGGGGCTCGCGTCTATCCTTCATCTTTGCGGCAATGGGCGGTGCAGTCGGACTAGGAAACCTTCTTCGCTTCCCATCGATTGTCTACAATAACCACGGCCTACAATTCTTCATCCCATATCTGATTTCTCTCTTTTGCCTGGCGATTCCAACTTTACTCTTGGAAATCTCCATTGGCCAGGCATACCGAGGTGGATGTGTCTTGGCTTGGCACCATGCTCATCGTCGAGCGAAAGGTGTCGGATTTGGCGTTGTTTACATCGGTTACGCCATCTGCATTTACTACGTCCCCATCATAGCATGGATCATGTCCTACTTCCGTCATTCCTTCATCAGCCCCTTACCCTGGGAAGGACGGAATGAAGACTTCTTTTACGGCGACGTTCTCCAGAACGTGGACCCTGTCCCGGGCAACCTCACTGCCGACGGATCCGCCGTTCAGGACTACTCAGATTACCCAGGTATGGGTATGAACACTGAAGTCACCTTGTGGAACCTTTTCACCTGGTTCATCGTTTGGCTTTGCATGTACAAGGGTGTCGGTCTCATGGGTCGTGTGGTTTATTTCACAATGGCTCTGCCAATCATTCTCATGATTGTCTTGATTGGGCGAGGCTGCTCTCTCCCTAATGCCATCGATGGCATGCGCATTTACTGGACCGAATGGCACGGGAACAAGCTCGCTTCAGGAACGATCTGGCAAGAGGCCTGCGGACAAGTATTTTTTTCGACAGGAATTGGGATGGGCTATTATACTTCATTCGCGTCATACAACCAGAAGTACTCCAACGCGGTCCAGGACGCACTCATCATCTGTATCTCGAACTCTCTGATTGAGATCATCGGCTCCATGTCAGTTTTTGGTGTTGTCGGATACCTCGGAATGCATCCGGATACCAGTGAGAGACTCAACACCTTTGTTGTCGGGTTTTTGACCTATCCCGAGGCCATTGCGGAAATGCCAGGAGCCAACTTCTGGGGCGTCCTGTTCTTCGCCACCCTCTTCATTCTTGGCCTTGGCTCCGCTTTCGCGCTTCTCGAAACTCTCGTCACCATGGTTTGCGACACTGACTGGGGCAAGAAGTATCCGCGTCCGTATGTTTCGACCGGCATCGTTATCGCTT